CTATTTTGTATATTATTCTTTTATTATCTGTGTTTTTGTCCTGTCACTGTCATTCTGTTGCACTGTGGAAGCTTCTGTCACTAAAACAAATTCTAGCATTCTGATTCTATACAGAATTAGCATATCTATATTTTGCTAATTTGTCTGCTTCCTCATTCCCTAACACTGCAGTATGTGCCAGAACCCACAAGAACTGATCTTATTTGTCTGTTATAACATATAAAACAACTGAAGTATCTCCAAGACAACATCTTGTCTAAACCAAACATCATTTTACTACACATTATCCAACCTGAGCAGTGCTTTTTGTAAGGCTGAAAACAAGTGAAAATGTAAAGGTTAGTGTTATGTTGTTTTTTGCATTTTGGGTGTGTAAGATTGTAGTGTGACAAACCTTGTTGTTGACTGATGTTTGTTTTGTCTTTAGTGGTTTTCAGTTGCCTGTGGTCTCCTCACTGCTTTTCAACAGATGCTTCTGAGTCTCTGCACTACAGATTTGACTTCGATGGAGTTGTAGTGCAGTAGTCAGATGGGTCTTGCTCAAATGCTGCACTACATTACCTGTTGAAAACAGTGGAATGTGAACGGCATCATCCCTGAGACACGATTCCGCTCTCGGCAACTGATGAAATTGAGAACGAAATTCCAGTTTACAGTCAGATTTGGAAAATACTTTTAATTAACAGCCCTTAGAACATTTCTCAGAACATCATGCATTTAAAGTACAGAGATTCTGTTGGTGTGTTGGGTGAACTTGTAAAATCCAGCAGTCTGAAATTCTACAGGTCTTTTGATCTGCAGAGTTCATTTGAATCAGATGATGGTGAATTCATTGTAAATCCATGGACAAAGAGCCTAGTCTTTTACTAAATTTAATGTGCTCTATGTATGTGTGTTGATCAATATTTATATACGAATAAAAGCCTTAATTAAATCTGTTCATCATATAAAGTGCTCATGTGTCTTCAGAAGACTTGGATTAAATGGCTTGATTCATGTGGATTACATTTACAATGTCTTTAAGATTTTTTGGGTAATGAATGTTTTGGATAAGTTACCTTTCATAAATCACCTGGGTTTCATTATAAACACCATTTCCAAGTCGAATGTTTTATGGGATTGGAATGGAATGCGGGTGAACAAATGGTGTCAATTTTTGGGCAAGCTATCCCTTTAAATGCATATTATTCAAATCCACTAAAATTTCTTGACTTTACAAAGTGATTCAGCCTGAATTTACAAAAAAATAATTTTGAGTTAAATCAAAAAGCTGTGAATCATGAATCAAATCAAATGTAATAAATGATAAGATGCTGCCTCGATGTCAAGCCTCTTCTTCAGAGGTTGGTTTTATAAGTGTGTATGGATGTGAGGAATAGAGTAGCGAGGTGTGTGAGCAGATGTGCAGAAATCCCTGTCACCAAAAGAATGCTGGGATCAATAGTAAGCCAGAGTCAGAGGACCTGATTGTGCAAACTGGGATGTAGGGATGAATGAGGTCTGAAATATACAGTGCCAAAACAAGTTGCCAGGTGGGCTGATAGATAGATGCTCAACTGGATTGAGATCTGGGCAATATGGCCTTCTTCACATAATGCTTCTAGCTGCCATCTCTTCCCCGCGTAAACAACACGCACACCTGGGGCCTGTACCATGATGGTAGCTGAACAAATTTCGAGCATTAGTTTCGAGTTGACAAAACCAAACCACTACAATCCGGCTTTGTTGGTACCATGATACTGATCATCAACTTTCTTTGTCAACTCGTGCTTTGATCCCGAGTTTGTGGAGCGCATGCACATGAATGTGTGACATCAGTGGCGAACAGCCAATCACGAGCCCCACAACACAAAGCAAGTCTGATTCACTTCTCGCGAGAGAGCTAACGAGATCAGAAACTCTTTTGCTAAAGGTTAAAAGATTGAAGAATTTAAACAAATTTACACTGAAGAAAGTGTTTGTCCATGAAAGAGGACAAATAAAAGAAATGATCTTGCTCTATCATTGCAGTCAGAAGTGAAACTTCTGAAGTTATTTTATGTAGTTGATAATATATAGCGATAGAGACTCGAACGTGTAAAGTCACGTCATTTTTAAAGCATTATCATCTGTATATATTAATATTAATTTAAAATCAATGCTTTATAATAATTGTTAAACTAAAATTGCTTGTGTGATGGATTAATAGAATTATTTTATGATTTATATTATTAAGTAATTATCATTAAAGCCAGACATCTTTTGTTTTCTGATTTGGACCTTTTATTTGTAGGAACAGAAACTGGGGGATTGACTTTTTTGTGTCAGACATGTCACTTTGCTCACATCTGATTGGTCCAATTTCAGTTTGAGATCTGTAACCCAGAACATAACCTGCCCTGGAGCAGGTTAGCTGTGCAGTGTAAGTTACTATGGCAATGAACGCCGCTAAAAGCCAAGCCACTTTCATGGTACCTAAAACCCAGGATTGGTGCAAACTAAACTGAACCTTACCTGGTTAGCCAGCTAATCCGGCTTCATGGTACAGGCCCCAGGTGTTCATATGGTGTTTACATTTTTTATAAGTTTGAGATCCAGTAGCTCTTCTGTGTGATTGGACTAGCCTTTGCTCCTCAAGTGTAGCAGCGAGCCTTGAATGCCACAACCCTGATGCCAGTTCAGCGGTTGTCCTTCACTGCACCACTTTGGAAGGTACTAACCACTGCATACAAGACTAGCTGTCTGGAGATGCTCTGGGGCAGGGGTTCAGTCCTAGAGAGCCACTGTCCTGCAGAGTTTAGCTCCAACCCTGAAAAACCAACACACTAGCCTTAGTAATCCTGAAGGCATTGATTAGCTTATTCAGGTGTGTTTGATCAGGGCTGGAGCTAAACTCTGCTCTAGGACTGAACTTGCCTACCCCTGCTCTGGGGGGGTTCAGAGATACCCACAATTCTAGATTAAACCTGTACCAAGACATTTTTTATCACTTACAACTTCTGGGGAGACAGATAATGGACAAAGATTAAACTTTCCAGATGTCACCTGTAGCCACATTCAGTCCCATATTTGAAAAAGTTTACATTTTGAGTGCATTCTCTCCGTAAACGTTAATTAAATAATGCAGTGCAGTGTTCATAATTGCATTCAGTTTATGTCCTCTCATTTAGAATTGTTCATTAATTGCAGCATTTCATAGACAATTTTTTTATTCAGATTTATCAATATATGGAATGAAGTAATTTGTATTGAGGCATCAGAGTTGCTTACTGTTTAAAACTATAGCAAAGGAGATGGTCAAGCCTGGCCACAAGTGTTCATATGTACATGACAAAGAAAATAAAAATATGACATGAAGGATGCAAATAAAACAAATGAACATCAACCAAATCACTGACCATCTGATAAGGGCCACTTTTAAAAGTCACTTCAACAGCCTGGCCAAAAAACTTTCTACATTTGACCAGAAAAATCAAATTTGGGCCATATTCAGCTGCGGTGTGTACGTAGCCTTAATTTCACACAAACTCGTATTTTCTTGTGCCATTTCAGATTGCTAGGCCATTTGAAACTCTTTCCACACACTGAACACAAATACGGTTTCACATAAGCACGAGTTTTCATAGCTTCTCTCTGGTGTGAAGCCTCATGTGATTCTTGAAGGTTTTAATGAATCGGCAAATCCTTCCGCACAGGTCGCATTTGAGAGGTTTCACTCGGGAGTGAATTTTCCTATGCCTCCTAAGGCCAATCATTTTATGGCACTCGTTACATATAAAACTTCTTCTCTTTCGAGTGAATCCTCATGTGTCTCTCAAGGGTACCTTTACCTGCGAAACTCTTTCCACACTGATCGCAGGAGAACGGCTTCTCTCCGGTGTGAACGTTTATGTGATACATGAGGCTGACTTTGCATGCGAAGACCTTCCCACACAGTTTGCAGGTGAAAGGGCTCTTTCCAGTGTGACTTACCATATGGGAGTCAAGAGCCGTTTTATACGTGAAACTCTTTCCGCACTGAATGCACGAGTAAGGCTTCTCTCCAGTGTGAAGTCTCATGTGGGAGTCAAGAGCTGTTTTATATGTGAAACTCTTTCCGCACTGAATGCACGAGTAAGGCTTCTCTCCAGTGTGAAGTCTCATGTGGGAGTCAAGAGCTGTTTTATATGTGAAACTCTTTCCGCACTGAATGCACGAGTAAGGCTTCTCTCCAGTGTGAAGTCTCATGTGGATTTTAAGACTTCGTTTTTCAGTGAAACTTCTTCCGCACTGTTGGCATACTAAACAGTTCTCTCCCGAGTGAATCTTCAAGTGGTTATTGAGGCTTGTTTTACAAATGAAACTCTTTCCACACTGATCGCAGGAGAATGGCTTCTCTCCGGTGTGAAGGTTCATGTGATACATGAGGCCAACCTTGTTTGTGAAGACCTTCCCGCACAGTTTGCAGGTGAAACGGCTCTTTCCAGTGTGACTTATCATGTGGGACTCAAGAGCTTTTTTATATGTGAAACTCTTTCCGCACTGAGTGCAAGGGTAAGGCTTCTCTCCAGTGTGAAGTCTCATGTGGATTTTAAGATGTGCTTTGTCAGCGAAACGTCTTCCGCACTGTTGGCATGCAAAGCAGTTCTCTTCCGAGTGAATCTTCAAGTGGTTATTAAGGCTTGTTTTACGAAGAAATCTCTTTCCACACTGATCGCATTTAAACGGCTTCTCTCCAGTGTGTTTGTTCATGTGATACTTCAGGTTTAGTTCTGTTAAGAAACTCTTTCCACACTGTTGGCATGCAAAAGGCTTCGGTCCAGTGTGAACCATCATGTGATTTTCAAGGGTTTGTTTTCGAATGAAACTCTTTCCACACTCTTGGCAGGTAAAATCTCTCTCTCCAGTGTGAATTCTCATGTGTACTTTCAGGCTTGCAGTTTGAGCATAACTCTTTCCACACTGTTGGCAGGTGTAAGGATCCTCTTCATTGTGGATTCTCATGTGTTCTCGAAGGCTCTCATGTTCACTGAAACTCTTTCCACACTGTTGGCAGGTGAAACCCTTCTCTTCATCGTGGATTTCCATATGGGCTCTAAGGCTTTCATGTTCACTGAAACCCTGTCCACAATGTTGGCAGGTGTAAGGATTCTCTCCATTGTGGATTCCCATGTGGAGTCTAAGGCTTTCAGGGTGAATGAAATTCATCCCACACTCAAAACAGGTGAAATAACCCCTAGTTAGTGTCTTCTGAGCTGTTTCTCGTGAGGAAGTCTTTTCAGTCTGTGAGCACCTAAAAGAGTTTCCTCCAGTTTTGAAATGATTCTTATTTTGAACTTTCTCTTCTATTTGATTCAGTACTTCATGTTCCTCTTTCAGCAGCATCATGTCTAAGGCAAAAAGACAAATAAAGGTTTACCCCACTTTAATGACAAAGCCACAGACATCAAAACATTTTTTACATTTAAAGGGGTCCTATTATGCTCTTTTACAAAGTCTTGATTTTGTTTTGGGAGTGTACTAGAACAGGCTCTCATACTAGGTTGTTTGAAAAACACATTATTTTTCACATATTTTACATTATTACAACGACTCCAATAGATCCTGTATCAAATGAAGGCCCGCCTTCTGAAATACGAAATGTGCTGTGATTGGTTAGCTGGGCCAGTGCGTGCAGTGATTGGTTAGCTGGGCCAGTGTGTGTTGTGATTGGTTAGGTGGGGCAGTGGGTTGGGAAATGTCATGCACCTTACCATAGCCGCCTGCCAGCTTTAGTGTAAATATTGAGTCAAAATCAAATCAATTTGAGTGCGATTTAAACCGCGTGCAGTGATTGGTTAGCTGGGCCAGTGCGTGCTGTGATTGGTCAGCTGGGCCAGTGCTTGCTGTGATTAGTCAGCTGGGCCAGTGTGTGTTGTGATTGGTCAGCTGGGCCAGTGTGTGCTGTGATTAGTCAGCTGGGCCAGTGTGTGCTGTGATTGGTCAGCTGGGCCAGTGCGTGCTGTGATTAGTCAGCTGGGCCAGTGTGTGCTCTGATTGGTTAGCTGGGCCAGTGCGTGCAGTGATCGGTTAGCTGGGCCAGTGTGTGCTCGGATCGGTTAGCTGGGCCAGTGTGTGCTCTGATCGGTTAGCTGGGCCAGTGTGTGCTCGGATCGGTTAGCTGGGCCAGTGTGTGCTCTGATCGGTTAGCTGGGCCAGTGTGTGCTCGGATCGGTTAGCTGGGCCAGTGTGTGCTCTGATCGGTTAGCTGGGCCAGTGTGTGCTCGGATCGGTTAGCTGGGCCAGTGTGTGCTCTGATCGGTTAGCTGGGCCAGTGTGTGCTCGGATCGGTTAGCTGGGCCAGTGTGTGCTCTGATCGGTTAGCTGGGCCAGTGTGTGCTCGGATCGGTTAGCTGGGCCAGTGTGTGCTCTGATCGGTTAGCTGGGCCAGTGTGTGCTCGGATCGGTTAGCTGGGCCAGTGTGTGCTCTGATCGGTTAGCTGGGCCAGTGTGTGCTCGGATCGGTTAGCTGGGCCAGTGTGTGCTCTGATCGGTTAGCTGGGCCAGTGTGTGCTCGGATCGGTTAGCTGGGCCAGTGTGTGCTCTGATCGGTTAGCTGGGCCAGTGTGTGCTCGGATCGGTTAGCTGGGCCAGTGTGTGCTCTGATCGGTTAGCTGGGCCAGTGTGTGCTCGGATCGGTTAGCTGGGCCAGTGTGTGCTCTGATCGGTTAGCTGGGCCAGTGTGTGCTCGGATCGGTTAGCTGGGCCAGTGTGTGCTCTGATCGGTTAGCTGGGCCAGTGTGTGCTCGGATCGGTTAGCTGGGCCAGTGTGTGCTCTGATCGGTTAGCTGGGCCAGTGTGTGCTCGGATCGGTTAGCTGGGCCAGTGTGTGCTCTGATCGGTTAGCTGGGCCAGTGTGTGCTCGGATCGGTTAGCTGGGCCAGTGTGTGCTCTGATCGGTTAGCTGGGCCAGTGTGTGCTCGGATCGGTTAGCTGGGCCAGTGTGTGCTCTGATCGGTTAGCTGGGCCAGTGTGTGCTCGGATCGGTTAGCTGGGCCAGTGTGTGCTCTGATCGGTTAGCTGGGCCAGTGTGTGCTCGGATCGGTTAGCTGGGCCAGTGTGTGCTCTGATCGGTTAGCTGGGCCAGTGTGTGCTCGGATCGGTTAGCTGGGCCAGTGTGTGCTCTGATCGGTTAGCTGGGCCAGTGTGTGCTCGGATCGGTTAGCTGGGCCAGTGTGTGCTCTGATCGGTTAGCTGGGCCAGTGTGTGCTCGGATCGGTTAGCTGGGCCAGTGTGTGCTCTGATCGGTTAGCTGGGCCAGTGTGTGCTCGGATCGGTTAGCTGGGCCAGTGTGTGCTCTGATCGGTTAGCTGGGCCAGTGTGTGCTCGGATCGGTTAGCTGGGCCAGTGTGTGCTCTGATCGGTTAGCTGGGCCAGTGTGTGCTCGGATCGGTTAGCTGGGCCAGTGTGTGCTCTGATCGGTTAGCTGGGCCAGTGTGTGCTCGGATCGGTTAGCTGGGCCAGTGTGTGCTCTGATCGGTTAGCTGGGCCAGTGTGTGCTCGGATCGGTTAGCTGGGCCAGTGTGTGCTCTGATCGGTTAGCTGGGCCAGTGTGTGCTCGGATCGGTTAGCTGGGCCAGTGTGTGCTCTGATCGGTTAGCTGGGCCAGTGTGTGCTCGGATCGGTTAGCTGGGCCAGTGTGTGCTCTGATCGGTTAGCTGGGCCAGTGTGTGCTCGGATCGGTTAGCTGGGCCAGTGTGTGCTCTGATCGGTTAGCTGGGCCAGTGTGTGCTCGGATCGGTTAGCTGGGCCAGTGTGTGCTCTGATCGGTTAGCTGGGCCAGTGTGTGCTCGGATCGGTTAGCTGGGCCAGTGTGTGCTCTGATCGGTTAGCTGGGCCAGTGTGTGCTCGGATCGGTTAGCTGGGCCAGTGTGTGCTCTGATCGGTTAGCTGGGCCAGTGTGTGCTCGGATCGGTTAGCTGGGCCAGTGTGTGCTCTGATCGGTTAGCTGGGCCAGTGTGTGCTCGGATCGGTTAGCTGGGCCAGTGTGTGCTCTGATCGGTTAGCTGGGCCAGTGTGTGCTCGGATCGGTTAGCTGGGCCAGTGTGTGCTCTGATCGGTTAGCTGGGCCAGTGTGTGCTCGGATCGGTTAGCTGGGCCAGTGTGTGCTCTGATCGGTTAGCTGGGCCAGTGTGTGCTCGGATCGGTTAGCTGGGCCAGTGTGTGCTCTGATCGGTTAGCTGGGCCAGTGTGTGCTCGGATCGGTTAGCTGGGCCAGTGTGTGCTCTGATCGGTTAGCTGGGCCAGTGTGTGCTCGGATCGGTTAGCTGGGCCAGTGTGTGCTCTGATCGGTTAGCTGGGCCAGTGTGTGCTCGGATCGGTTAGCTGGGCCAGTGTGTGCTCTGATCGGTTAGCTGGGCCAGTGTGTGCTCGGATCGGTTAGCTGGGCCAGTGTGTGCTCTGATCGGTTAGCTGGGCCAGTGTGTGCTCGGATCGGTTAGCTGGGCCAGTGTGTGCTCTGATCGGTTAGCTGGGCCAGTGTGTGCTCGGATCGGTTAGCTGGGCCAGTGTGTGCTCTGATCGGTTAGCTGGGCCAGTGTGTGCTCGGATCGGTTAGCTGGGCCAGTGTGTGCTCTGATTGGTTAGCTGGGCCAGTGCGTGCAGTGATTGGTCAGCTGGGCCAGTGCGTGCTGTGATTGGTCAGCTGGGCCAGTGCTTGCTGTGATTAGTCAGCTGGGCCAGTGTGTGTTGTGATTGGGCCAATGCGTGCAGTGATCGGTTAGCTGGGCCAGTGTGTGCTCTGATCGGTTAGCTGGGCCAGTGCGTGCTCTGATCGGTTAGCT